TAATATTAATTCTTGAACCTTACCTATATGAAGGCAGGATCAAAGGACTAAATATGCATGGGTATGGAATAATATCTGCACCCACATATCCTAGAGCCTGCCTACTTTTTAAAAACAACATATCCTAGAGCCTGCCTACTTTTTAAAAACAAACTAAAACTGCTGCCTCTATGGCAATTCTGTTCTAGAGATCTTGCAGCAGCCAAATATACCCAACAAGGGTATAACAAATCATCAATCATAGCGGCGGTTTATCTGCCATATGAACATCCAGAACCTGCAGAAGGAATGGATGAACTACTAAAGAGTAAGGAGGAAATTGTTGCTGCCCTGGATGCTAATGCACACAACGAGATTTGAGGAAGCACAAACACCAACTCAAGAGGTGAGAAACTCTTAGAGACTATTATTAAATATGATCTTGATATTCTGAACAGGGGGAATAAGCCTACCTTTTGTAATAGAATTAGGACTGAGATCATAGACATAACACTAGCGACTCGATTGACTAGTGACCTTATAGATAACTGGCATGTCTCTGATGAAGAAACATGCTCGGATCACAGGTATATCAGGTTTGATATATCTGACAGAATACAACATGATGTGGAATATAGAGACCCCAAACGAACAAACTGGGTGTCCTATAGTTCTAACTTGGAGGAGGCTGTCAAATGCTGTTCTGGTGCCAATCAAATCAATCAAATCAAAGGCTGCCCTAAAGTTATCCACACTACATGGCAATTAGAAATATTAAATACTTCAATTACTGATGCTATGACTAGAGCATATTTGGCCAGTAATGAAGCCAAAAAAACTACAACCAACAGGAAAGTGTCCTGGTGGAATGATAGTCTAACAAAGCAAAGAACACTCATGAGGAGACTGTTCAATGCTTCTAAAAAATCTGGCAATTGGGATACCTATAGGAAATCTCTTACTGAATATCACAAATCTGTCAGAAAAGCCAAAAGACAAGCCTGGAAAAGGTTTTGTCTGGAGGTGGACAACATGCCGGCGATATGTAAGGTAAACAAAATACTGTCAAAACAAACCAACACAGGTATAATGGGAACACTCAAATATGACGATAAGCACACCACGAATGAGATGGAAACATTGAGTGTGGTAGCAAAAGCTCATTTCCCAAATTGTTTTACGACAGTAAATGAACTTCTTGACCCCAATACACAGGATCGTGGTACTGGTGCACGTATGTGGGGTCTGGCAAGAAGAGTGATAACAAACAGTAGACTTGAATGGGCAGTGAATTCATTCTCTCCTTTCAAATCTGCTGGAACTGACGAGATCTTTCCAGCACTGCTGCAGAAGGGTCTCCCAGAGATAAGGCCATACCTTCTGGAACTTCTAAGAGGTAGCCTAGCACTGGGATATCTACCATGTAAATGGAGGATATCCAAAGTGCGATACATTCCTAAACCAGGAAAGGAATCTTATGAAGACCCCAAGGCATTTAGGCCAATATGTCTGTCATCTTTCTTAATGAAGACATTGGAAAAGATACTGGACAGGCATATTAGGGAACACATATTGGCTATTAGTCCAATACATTCAAAGCAATATGCCTACCAACCAGGACAATCCTGTGAGGTGGCGCTTCACAACTTGGTAACAAGAATTGAGAAATCCTTAGAACAGAGTGACATCATGATCGGCGTCTTCGTTGATATCGAGGGTGCCTTTGATAGAACTCCCTATAACATCATAAATGATGCGCTAAGGAAAAAAGATATAGACGCTATGACCTCCAGATGGATTGGGAGAATGCTGGAGGACAGAGTTCTAAAATAAGAAATAGGGCACAAGGAACTGTGGATTAAACCCTGTGATGGATGTCCACAGGGAGGTGTGCTCTCTCCGCTACTGTGGTGTTTTGTGGCTGACTCATTATTGGAAGCCTTGAACACTGCAGGCATTTATGCTCAGGGATATGCTGACGATATTGCCATCCTCATAGGAGGGAGGCATCAGAGTGTCCTCTCTGATATCCTCAGTACAGTGTTTAATATTCTTAGGAATTGGTGCAGGATTAAAGGACTAAGCATCAACCCTAGGAAAATCAATGTGTGTATCTTCATTAAGAAGAAGAAGGTGGCTATAAAAATGCCGGAAATCAATGGTATCCAAGTGACATTGAGTAAGGAAGTAAAACACCTTGGAGTCACTTTGGACCATAAACTGACATGGACTAAACACGTTCAAAACGTGACAAGTAAAGCCTTCAAATGCCTATGGGCCTGTAAAAGAGCGATAGGAAAGAATTGGGGACTAAAACCAAAAATGGTATACTGGCTGTACACAACGACAGTCAGACCTATCATACTTTACTCAGCTTTGCTATGGTAGCACAAAGCAAAGACTGTGGCCAACTTATCCTTATTAGGAAAGACTCAAAGGCTTGCTTGTATAATGATAACAGGAGCAATGAGCACGACACCGACGGCTGCTATGGAGGTGATGCTGGGCATGCCTCCGCTGCAGCTGGAGGTGGAGGCTCGGGCAACAAATACATTGTGCAGGATAAGCAAGTCAACTTACTGTTCAACAGTCCCCTGTCAGGGAGGACACACAATATTGCTGAACAGGATTGGACGTGAAGGAGTACTAGCTATGCACTCTGACACTCTAATCCGAGAATATCAGGACCGAAAATATAAGGTTGAGATAGATAGCAGCAGAAGTCATAAACCAAATAGTGGAATAAATTGCTATACAGATGGCTCTCTAACAGCCTTCGGCTCTGGAGCAGGCATCTATCGCAAAGATATAAAAGAAAAAATTTCTATACCACTTGGCAGGTATGCTTCAGTGTTTCAATCCGAGATACTGGCAATCTGCCACTGTGTACAAAACCTACTGCAAACCAATGTGACTGAGAAAAAGATTACCATCTATACTGACAGTCAGGCAGCAATAGGTGCTCTCGACAATTATGTTTATTCCAAGGTCGTTAAGGAATGCAATAGAGCACTTAACGAGCTAACTGAGCACAACAGAGTTGCAGTGGAGTGGGTGCCAGGTCACTCTGGCATACCAGGCAACGAGGTGGCTGATGAGCTAGCCAGGTTGGGCTCAGATACCATTCCTATAACTCCTGAGCCTGTCTGTGGAATCAGCCTCAGCACTGCCAAGGGCAGGATCAGGGAGATCTATGGGAACAAATTTAGTAATTACTGGACCGACAAGAAACAGAGACATTCGAAGCTGTTCCTTGAAGGCCCATGTAAAAAAAGAAGTAAACAGCTACTGAACATGGACAGAGCAGCTCTTAAAAAACTTACAGCGATCTATACAGGTCACTGTAAGTTAAATAATCATATGTTCAATCTCCGAGTAATGACGAATCCGCTATGCAGATTCTGTCAGGAGGAGAATGATACAGCTTTTCACATCATATGCAGATGTGACAGGTTTATAAGGCAGAGACTGGTGGTATTTGGGGAGGAACAGATGGATCTCCCCAGAAGATATGAGTCGGTCAATCCAACCAACCTACTTAGATACGAGGAAGCGACAGGACTAACGTTTTAAACAAAACGACTTAGTGAATATTGGCGCACAATGGACCCAGTAGGGGTCGACGTGCATAAAGCCAACATTAAAAAAAAAAAAAAAAAAAAAGCTCAATAATCACATATTAACATTTTCGCTGCTGCAAGTAACGAGCTTTATATCTACCACAGCACTAACGGAGACAGCTACCCGCCGACTGGCCCTTTCTATGTACTTTTTACCTGTTTATCATCCTTCATAACCGGCCTTTTACTAATATTTGTTAACCTATTTATTGTTTCCATGCTCCTTCTTGATTTGGACTGTGTACAGACACTGACTGTGTAAATTTTGTTTATGTTTACAAAGATATGTAGTCAATTAATTTTGAGTGCTATTGTTCAAAATATTTGTGTATAAAGAGGCCAACCTCACAATCACACCATCCTACTACTGTTTCGTGTCAAATATTTTTTTTAGAACAAACGATATCTTCATCTTTGGTACATCTATTTTTTTTATGTTCCTTCTGAAATGATGATATGGAATGAATTCGCCACCAACACTCTGCAGTAGTGCATTCCATTTAAAAAAAAAAAAAAAAAAAAAAAAAAAAAAATACTAACTTATTACTATAAAAAAACTAAAATAATTAATTCTATATGGTCATTTAACTAAATAAAATAATCCTATTTGATCTAATTGTTAACTAAAATGATTAGACTAAACTAAATAAAATTTATATAAACTAAATAAAGACTAACAGCAACTAAACTGAAGGTTGTTTCATACAGAACACAAAAATTAGAATGAATACAGTCAAGATAGTAGAGAAATGCCATAGCAGGTAGTTACCCAATAAGAAAAGCTCCAAAATAAATCCTCACGCCATCTGTAGGCACTAGTTAGAAGCTTTATTTCACTAGGAAACCAGCAGAACGAAGCAAGGTCACATTAGCTTTACTCGACATTATAAAATGGAAAGAAAAGCACTGCGTCGGCACATGCTGTTGTTGGCACTGAGAGAAGGAGTGGGCCATATCAGCATAACAGAGTAACCATTAGGAACAGGGGCACAGTCTGTTGTGTCGGCATATCAGTGTGGTCTAGACCTCAGTTCAGAGCGTATGATAAAAGTTCAGTCAGTTTATAGTTAGAGATTTTCACAGTTTTTAGAAGGAGTTCTGTCATAATTTTTGGTAAGAACCAACTATTAATCGTGTTATATCCACAGACAGGAAAGATTCTTCAACACCGGCGTTTCACGTCAGAAGAAGAAAGAAAAAGTCACAGTTTTAGTCGGCTTAAGGTAATTATTGCAGGCATTCTAGATAAGAATATAGGTGGGGAGCGCATGCGCATAGATAGGACTAGGTGCTAGATATCTCAGTGTCTCCAGTGACGAGGTTAGGATAACGTCAATTTTTTTACCACGTTACTTACATAATTTTTTTTTTCTCTTTCTTTCTTTTTTCTCGCTTATTAAGATGGTTCTATGCCCAATTTGTAAACAGACCATAGCAAGACAAGAAAAAAAATCAATAGCATGCACTATCACAACATGTCAAGCCATTTTTCATGGAAAATGTCTAAACGCAGACGAGAGTGAGTTCGAAGCACTGAGGGCATTACGAAAAAATTGGGTAAGTCCGAAATGTGAAAAGGCTCGGAAAAATATCCAACCGACAGACAAGTGCCTTAGCCCGCCAAGATTGGCGCCACAACAACAAACTGTCGACAGCACGTCACAACTGTTACTTGCTGCCATTAAAAATCTAACAGAAGAGGTCAAGGGATTAAAATTCTCCCTCGATGCCAATGCTAACGAGGTGAAAGAATTAAAAATATCTCTCGAAAAGCAAGCCTCTATAACTTTTGAGAATGCGGCGAAATTAGACACTATAGAGTCACTACTGGAGGCTCAAAATTCCAAGATTGACGGACTGGTCCTGGAAAACACGACTCTCAAGTATCGGGTCTCGGAGCTCGAAATCAGGCTCAATAAAAGTGAGCAATTGCACCTTTCCAGGTCAATAGAAATAAGAGGAGTCCCAGTGAGATCTGGAGAGACCCCGATGGGCCTGGTGATGAGCGTGGGGGCGGGCCTGGGCCTTAGTCTAAAGGTGGAGGACATAGACTATGCAGAACGGATAAGAACCAGGCAAGACGATACACCCGGGCCGCTTGTGGTAAGGTTCGTCCGGCAGTCGCTTAGGGATGAGTTGATCCAGAGGCGAAAAGTCATTAGGGATTTTTCAACACGTCACCTCGGATGGCAAGAAAATGACGCCCACAAGATTTACCTGAGCGAAGCTATGTCCGTAACCAACAGACACCTGTACTGGCTGGCCCAGCAAAAGAGGTCTGCAGGAAAAATCAGGTACAGTTGGTTTAGCGCAGGCAAGGTGAAATGTCGACGAGACGATGGACAGCAGGTCGTCGTCATCAACTCACCATCAGATTTAGACACGTTTGCTTGACATGCATATGATCCTCTTTTAGTCCTGATCACTTCTTTCTTTCCCATATTACACCAGATGATCTCCTTAAATCCATTCAGAAGTCCCATACCAATGATTACGGTCCCGACAACATCCCAGTCAGACTGATTAAAGCCGCATTGCCATCCATTCTTCCGATCTTTTATCATATATACAATTATTCTCTTCAAAATGCTACCTTCCCGACATCCTGGAAAACCGCCCTAGTACGCCCATTGAAGAAGACTTCAAACCCATCAGCTCCTAATGATTTCCGACCGATTTCCCTCCTTTCAAACCTCTCAAAACCATTAGAGCGGTTAGTCCAATCCCAGCTATCCCATTTTTTAGAGGACAATAATCTCCTAAATCCCTACCAGTCCGGTTTCAGGCCTGGTTATTCTACTTAGTCTGCCCTAATCAAAATTTCCCAAGACCTTCACACAGCCATAGATCAGCAGAAACTAACCATCCTTATTCTCCTAGACTTCTCCAAAGCTTTTGATTCACAACTTTTGACCACAACATCCTCCTAACCAAACTTAAAAATATCTCTTTTTCTTCTAGTTCCCTTAATTGGTTCCAATCCTTCCTTACCGGTCGCTCCCAGTACGTTGTAATTCCTAATAACCCACCATCAGAATCTCTACCTCTGACCAGAGGCGTCCCACAAGGCTCTTCCTTATCCCCCACCCTTTTCTCCATCTATATAAATGACCTCCCATCCTCTATCCTGCACTGTCAATACTACCTGTATGCCGACGACATTCAAATTTACCTCTCCTTTAATCCGACAGATATCTCAGATGCCACTCTAAAACTTCAGGAAGACATTGACAGAATAAGTGCTTGGGCAAACCTCAATAGGCTCACTCTGAACGCCAAGAAGACGAAAGCCATCTTGATCGGATCCCCTTCACTCCTCAAATCCTCCCCGGTATCTCCCAATCTCTTCCTGAACAACTCACCTATCTTATTCCACACCAACGTTAAAAACCTAGGTGTTACTCTCGATCAATCCCTATCCTGGAAACCTCACATCTCCCAAATTTCCCGTCGCACTATCTCCACCCTAAAACAGTTCAATCATCTACGATATCTCCTTCCATATAAGTCCCGTCAACTCCTAGTTTCCTCCCCTGTTTTACCCCACTTCGACTATGGCTGTATGGTGTACAGTGGACTCTCGGGAGATTCCGAGGCCAAACTTAAACGCCTAATGAATTGCACACTACGATTTGTTTTCGGAATCTCAAGGGATACGCATATTACCCAGTATTACACTGAGTTGAGGTGGCTCTACCCATCCTATCGCCGTCAGTACTTCCTAGCCACCTTTCTGTACCAAATCATTAGAACCCATCGACCCTCCTATATTTTTCACAGCTTACAATTCAAATATTCCATCCAATCCCGTCCCACCAGATCTCGTACTTCCGACCTCTATCCTCCTCCTCACCGAACTGCTGCGTTTGACAAATCCTTTGCAATACAAGCCGCCTCCCTCTGGAATTCCATCCCAGCTGATATTCGACACGCTCAATCAGTTTCCTCGTTTAAACCTCTCCTCTTTAAGCACCTACTCCTTTCCCAATCCGAATGATTGTGAAATATATCAAAGAGAAATATCTGAGCACCACCAGAGACTACCTCAATTTATTAAGGTTATTTTAGTTTCTCAAATATATGTACAATTTACTTGTTCTTTTCTTTCTCTTTTCTGTATTTTTATCGTAAGTCAACTTTCATTGTAAATATACAATTTAATTGTAACCACACAGACATATAATCTGTATTCATATTTTGTTCTTAAGGGACAACAGTCCCAGAATAATAAAACATTTTTTTCATTTCATTTCATATGCCTTAGTTAGAAATTTAAGGGTTAATGGGAATTTCAGCTACCCTCATAGGAATAGATTCTGATTTAAAATAACTTATTTCTGCTCATTTATTAAATAGATTAATTATTAACATGAAAATTTAGAAAATATTACAAAAGGAGCATTTCATACAACCAGTGCTAAGTATTATAACTCGTTTAATGTATTTAATTTGAGGAACTTATTTATTATAAATTAAATATATGTTAAAAGATATTTATATTAAATATGGCTGCAAGCACACTCTATTTTAATATGGTCTGAGGTCTGTTAAATTTGGTGATGATTTTGTAAATGCATTGGGAAGGTTGTAGTGTCTTTTGTATTATTTTTATTACTTCAATTTTAAGTTAAGTAATGGAAGAAAAGATGTTGAAAGAATCGATAAAATAAAGAACAATGAAGTTCGAAGTGAATGTTTTTTTAATTCTGAATAAATTTATGGTGACCACATTCTTGGTAATAAACTGTGTTCAAATAAAAGAAAAATTTACCCTTTAACATCAAAATAAACTGTAAAACCCAAGTTATTGTTAGTGGAAGTTTATACTTGCTATAGCTTCAGCGGGTTACCACAAGTTACATGAATAACCCTAATAAGTTGTTTTATTTATCGTACAAAAGAAATATGTTAGTTTAGTGGGTAAGGCACTGTACTCTCAACTCTCACCTCCAGGTTCGAATCTGGCAGTAATAATTAGATAGATAATCATTTACTATCTTAAAACCGCAGTGGACCAGAACTGAGGGTAGGAAACAGAATAAAAATTTATCAAAAATAAGATAACTGTAAAGCAAATTACTTTTTACTTACAGTTAGAGCATGGAAGTTCGGATTAAGGTCAATAGCCCTCATAAAATAATTAATAGCTGCACACAAATCCCTTCTAATAAAGAGATAATATTCTGTAGCATGAATGAATGTCAGCATTTGATAATTATTTTCAGTAAATTGTCCTAATATTTTTGTGTAAAAGGCTTCTACATCAGGATTCAAACTGAGTTTTACTTGAATATCAAAAGCTGCAAAATTAGCACTGAATACATTTCTGGAAGCAGCAATTTCAAAGTGCTTCAGCGCCTTATGGTACTGAAAAATAAAAATGTTAATTAACTAACTGATAAAATAAATAGAAACAAAAAAATTATTTTCGTTTAAAAAAAAAACTATACTACAGAAATAACTTAATCCATCTTAAGGTCTACATAAAGTGAGTTGTTAGTAAGTGTCAATGAATACTAAACATGGTGGAGTGCCTTCCACACCCAAACGAAACTCTTCTGACAATGCATTAATTTACCTTCTGTATGTTTACACACTATGTGCAGATGAACGCAGTCAGATGTTCCGAAAAAAACAAGACGAGCCAGATTCTCACTGAGCTACTTTAGCAAAAGAAGAGAGAAATCATATTCTTGAAAGATGGCACATATGCTGGAACGTATCACACGACTTTCACTTAACATCCTCTTATTAGCAGAAATAGGTATTTTCATACAAAGGGAAAGTGAAGGTAAATATTATATATGCTATATTTATTTACATTTCATTGTGGGTATTTTTATTTGTTTAATTACCCATATATATATATATATATATATATATATATATACAAATTTTAATTTTTATATCGCTGTAATCTATACAATTAAATATTAAATAATACCGAAAATAGCATTTGTGAAAATTGCATATGTATGGAATCAGTATTATATTAAGCTCATGTTACGTTCTAATCTTTCGGGCAAGCTCGGGTGCGCTCATATTCCTTTGATTCCTCTATTACAACTTATCCGTAAAGATCTCTTATTTTTCCTTTAGTTAATTATCAAATTCTTTCATATTTTATATTTAACTATTTTTTATATCAAAGATTAAGGTGAAATGGTCAATTATTTCAAACAAACAAAATTAAAGGTACTTTAGAAGAAGCTAATATTGAAAAGTAGCCATTTATGCCTTGTTAGAGAATATCAATGAGAATAAAACCTACATTATATTAAAAAATGGTAAATAATATATGGATATACTGAGTTTAATAAAAAACGTTAAAGCAGTTTTTGAGAAAATCACAAAAATGTGTTAAATCGATGATATGAGTACCACTGCCAATTTGCCGATTTTTACAAAAATATTGCTGTAACATCCCAGGCTTATAAAAATCCCAAATACGCAATTTCAGTTTCATTCGACTTTTCGTTTTTAGCTAGGCTGTTAGTTAACACATGTACACACACATCATTTTGTAGGATCTGTGGGACGATCTGGCAATCATAGTTCATAGGAAACTCTTGGACGAGATAAATTATAATGCGAACAAGGCAATCCTCACCATTTGTCAATGGCTTTCAGCAGTAGGCCTCCAGCTTGCTTATCATAAAACTGAGGCAGTACTAATAACAAGTGGGAAAGTGAGGGAAACAATCGGTCTCACCGTTGGGGAGTTTGATATTGTATCTAATCCATCGTTTAGATATCTCGGGATGCAGGTTTATGCCAGACTTCGATTTGACAAACACTTGCAAAAAGTGAGCACTAGAGCAGTGCAAGTAATTAATGAATTGGCCAGGATTATGCCAAATATTGGTGGACCAAGTGCAGTCATTTGTCCGTAAGCTATCGAAGAAGTGTCCTGAGCTCTGCGTGTCACTTGAGCTATTGGCACTGTGTCCTACGATGCTGTATGCGTCATCATAGATATGACTCCGATCGATCTTTTGGCAGATGAACGCAGTTGGATGTTCCAAAGAAAACAAGAAGAGCCGGATACTCACTGAGCTACTGTACGCTGGAACGCCTCATCACTGACAGATACGCTGGAACGCCTCATCATCTGGAAGATGGACCCACTGTCTGATTCCCGATTTATGGATGGATATCCATGAAACCTGGGGAGGTAGATTATTACCTCGCCCAACTGCTGACAGGCCATGGTTGCTTCAGGGCCTATTTAGCCCGCTTCAAAATAGAGAATAAATCATTGTCCCCAACTTGCGATCCCATGGATGACATTAAACATGGAACATTCACTCTTCTATTGTCCAGGTTTTGCTCGAGAAATGGAAGAGCTAGACAAGAAACTCAGAACAAAATCATCACCCTAAAAACTTTGTCGCTTTGATGATGGCTAAAAAGGAGAATTGGGGTGTTGCAGCAGACTGTGCAGGGCAAATCAGCAGAAGGCTCAGATCACAGGAGCAAGAAAGGAGAGGACAGGCGATGACTCAGCTATAAGGTATCCAAAGAAAAAGCAGGCATACAGCCATTCTACCCCTACCTCCTCCCTCCCCTCCCCCCACGAAGTAATGCTTGACAGCAGTTCCGTGAGGTGTTAAAGAAGAATCGGGAGGTTGTTTTTTTTAGTGAGTGGGAATCTCACACTGTTGTGTGACTTTTTGTTGGTATCATTTCGTCTTATGAAAGATTTTTCACCTACCCAGAAATAAAAAAACAAATAATTATAAAAAATACTGACCATTTTGTGGGACTTGGTTATTTGGACTCAGGGAACCTCAAAACATGTATTTCCATTTCAAACTCAGATTAAAAAATTTTCACGATCGCAATACTTACCCTTACTCTATATTACATATATAAGTAAGTGAAAGTAATATGAACATATACAAATTTCAGGTTCAGTGATTAATATTACAAACTATTGTAGTGTAGCATTTAATGGATATAGCGAGCACAGTTATGGATATAGCAAGGGAATGGAAATGACGTATCAAATGCTTAGGATTACTGAACACAAAAAATTGCTCAGATATAGTGACACTCACAGAACTCATAAATCCTCTGTGTAAACAACACATTTTAAGGAAACCTATAATTTCAAGTTCAACGAAGATATGTTTTTAGCATCGAACACTGTTGTCTTACAAGCAATGGACCAGATTTTATACTGAAAGCAGCTGCTCATAAAATGTCTTCAAAACATAGTTTAAAACATCATGTAGATTAATACATGATGTTTTATTTAATTTTGGCTAATAAAATTACAAACTGCTCCAAAAATTGAGTAGTCGTCATGCATGACATCAATGAACAAGAAATAAACCAAATTTTATTTGATCCAGACTTAATAACAACTAACAAAAAGGACAATGAAGGTCTTGATGAAATCCCAGATAATGTGCCCAATAAAAACCTAACATGGTTTCGAGTTTTAATCAGGTCATTAACATCTTTTTAATATTATAATAAAGATATATGCACACCAAAGTAATACAAAAAACAAAACTACACCACCAAACCCATGTATGGTTCTGGGTTAAATACTACGTAAATAAGTACTGTTTCAAGGCCAACAGTTGTGCAGGGAGGTGATTTGGTTAGGATCATGTTCAACCATCAAGTTTTTCCCTTAATTAATTATTTAATTAACAGTACCCATTTTATAGAGGCTGGATGTGCCGCAGGAGGGTCTCCCAACTACAGGGTCAATCCACAGCTGATGAAACAGAATAAATAAAATCTAATTTATTAAAAATAAATGGTTTGCTATAACATTAATCATTTATTATAGTAATAATAAATACCATTGGTTTATCTTCTTGCAGACATAAATCACCAGCCAGCTTATTAGCCATTGGATTACATGGAGAGCGCTTTAAACTTTCTTCAAGAAGTTCTTTGGCCGTATCACATTCCCGATCGTAGGGGGGAAGTTTGGAATACGCATAAGCACAACGAATTAAGATGTGCACACACTGATTTTGGTTTTTTTCTAAAGCAAGCCTGAAAAAAATATAACACAGTAAAACCATCCATATATCTAGAACTAAAATAAAAATAAAAATAAATTACTGCTGGTAATATAACAATATTATTATTTTATAAATAAAATGTTTTTATACGTTATTTCTGAATATATATCCCTTTTTTTTAATTAATTAAATTATTAATTTTAGTTTTATTTATATAAATGTGTCTCTAACTAAAATCTTTTTGGAATGTTTGTCAATGTGCTTTAATTACATTAGATTTTACTTTTAGATCTTAATTATTGAAGTTTATCATTTTGAAAATACACTTTCAATTTTTTTTTTATGAAAAAGTAACACATCTCTTCTTGATTGGTCTAAATATTAGTTCCTGAGAATTTGAGCCTTTTGTCTTTTGCCATCATCAGATGTTCAAAGCAATGCTTAGAAGCTTTTGTAAATTTATGATAATCCAGTAAAGGAAAAAACTAATATTTAAATTAGCAACTTTAAGTAATATTTAAGTTTAACTATTTAAGTAACTAACATTTAAGTTTAAGGAAACGCAATGGTTAAACCATGGCAGAGTGTAAATCATATTTATAAACTGATAGCTTACTAAATATATGTATTAAAAACTTTAAGTATCAAACATAATTGAATGGAAGTTATGCTGAGCCCTGAATGTATTAAAATCAGTTACAAATATTAGGTTTGTAAGGAGTGTTACCATGGATTAGCTAGTCATTATCATATTCTTTTAGTTAATTATCCCAAAGCAGTATGAAGTTATTTTATAAAAATAAGAAATTAAATATATTCTATTTCATCATCTGAAATTGCATTCTAGTGACCATCTCACAGAATTCATTTGGTCACAGAATTTCATCTCTTGTTTTTATTAGTAGGTGTTTTATTGTTTTAAGTTGTCTTTGTATCTATTTTCCAAATACTTATTTAATCACTTCATCATATTCTTTTTCATAATTTTTTACTGTTGTTTTAATACATTCCATTATGTTTTTTTTAAATTCTAAGATCATTGATATTCTTCTGCCTTAATTTATTAATAAGGCCTTAAGCCCAAGAGATATAGGGGAACCCACCCAGCTCATTAGGATCATGTCAGTGAGGGCATATTTTTCTACAAACAGTAAAGAGAAATGTCAAGAACTGTTCGTCCAAAAGGAATGTTCCTCTCTGAATAGAGCGATACCAGTTGCTGGACGGATGTAGTTCCTATAATTTTTTGGATGGGTTAGATTTTTTCAAAAGAAAACAGAAAAATAAATCTCGGTGGACAAAGGAGAGGTTGCATATTAATATTTTAAACCAACTCAGGAAAAGCAATGTGAATGATTATCAAAGTTATTCCAAAATGGCTGAGATCGAATTCAGTTATATATTTGATAATGTGATATCTGATCATGAGACATCAATGCAACTGATAAAATGGAGAATGGAAAAGAAAAAAACGTTTATAGGACATCGTTTATAAAAAAATATTTATAGGACATTGTGACATTCCATCATGAGACATCAATGCCACTGGTAAAATGGAGAATAATGGATCATATCCTCTACACTCAGAAGAACATCCTGAGCTCTGTTTTGGATCCAAACCAACTCAATGGAAGACCAAATTCATCAATTTTCACACACAGGCGAAATGCAATGAACTTAATTCATATGAATCAATTTCAGCAAACCGGTTATCCATTTATGTAGGCTTTAAAGTACAATTTGCATATCACTATGTAGAAAGGGGAGTTTATGTCATTTCAAGTAGAACCAAAATATAAAACCAAGGAACAGTAAAAAAAAGTTGAACATCAAGTTACAAATAGCTATGGCATCCTTTATTTTTTTATATATCATTTATCTTATATGAAAAATAGAGAAGCTTACTTAATTAACTCCTTAGCTTTCGCACTTAAGTCTTTCATGGTATTTCTAACTGTAATGGAACGATTTCCAGTTTTATATGACTCAGCATTAAGACTTCTGGACTTCTCTATATATGCATTTGCCAAGAAAATTGCAGAACGGGGTGTTCCAGCTAAATTATAGGCCGTTTGCAAGTGGCTAATTTCTGATGAGCTAATTTCATGATCTTGAGTAAAATGTCTAAGTCGGCTTAAAAGTTTGCCCATTAAAAAATGCCAATCTGCTTCTTTCCCATTTTTTTTCAAAGCCTCTTTTGCATGTTGAACTGCAATAGTAGAACCTATAGCATAAAGAGTTTGAAATCAATGTTTTTAAGTATATAAAAACTATAGAAATATAATTTATTACAGAGTACTATTACAGTAGAAAAAGGAAGTATAAAATGGTAGCAACTTTTTTGTTCATACAACTAATGCTTATTACAATAAACTACACAGGCTTAGATATAGCTGATCCAACAGCAATATAAAAAAATTATGTTACCTAAAGACACCACGACTAAGGACAACGAACTTAGATAACACCTATTACATATTCAGTAAATTCATAAATTTAAAGAGAAACCAAATTATTCTGTTCTATTCAAAATCATATAAGTCTACAACTTACGTCCCAGGTACTCCACACAATCCGCCTTAATAAAATCACCAGTGACAATCAAACTGCGATAGATGATAAAAAGTTAACTATCCTTCTCGACTTCTCCAAAGCCAAAGCCTTTGATTCGATGAACCATTCCATCCTTTTCAACCAACTAACATTATTATCCTCCTCCAATAGTCCCACCTCTTGGTTTCAATCTTTCCTCTTCAACCTTTCTCCTTCACAACATACCCAATCAACCACTATTTGTGTCTATCTTTCTTTACCCTCTGGAGTTGCCCAGGGTTCAAGCATATCACCTCTCTTTTTTACCTCTTACATTAACGACCTACATAAATCAATTCTTCATTGTTCCCACCACCTTTAAGCAGACGATTCTGAGATCTATCTATCCTTTTCCCCTCCTAAGTTATTGGTAGCATTAGCCAAGATCCAAGAAGACCTAGATCGAATGAACAGATTAAGGTTAAATTCTGTCAAAACTCAGGCCATTGTCATTGCTTCCAAGCCCCTACTTAGATCCAACGCCGACTTTCCCATACTATAGCTTAATGACCAGCCAATCTCCTTCTACTCCTCTGTTAAAAATTTAGGATTTTTCATTTATCAAAATCTCTTCTGGTCATCTCCTACCTCAACATACTCCAATAGACTCCTGGTTTCCTGTCTCATTTTCCTCTACTTTAACTACAGCTGGGTGGTGTATGATGGCCTCTCTTTAGAACTCCTCGATAGACTGATGAACAGCTGTGTAAGATTTGTAATTGGGACCTCAAGATACTCCCATGTCTCTCACCACTACACTGAGTTAAGGTGGCTTTTCCTTTCCTTCCGAAGACAATATTTCCTAGGTATGTTCCTCTATCAAATCATCAACAATCATCGACCTTCTAACGCCGAAAACCTTTTCCAATTCAAATCCTCAGTCCATTCCCTTCTCACAAGATCTCGACCTTTTAACTTTTACATCCCTTCTCACAGTTCTGCCTTATTACAAAACTCTTTTATTGCTCACTCTGTCAATTTCTGGAATTTCCTCCCTATCTAAATTTGGCATTTCCCCTCCATATCGACAATCAAAACCCTCCTATTCCAATTCCTATCCCAAACACAGTCAGATTGCAAACCATACATTTATTTCATGCCATTCATTGTCAAATATCAAAGCTGTTCTTTGCTAGGGATAATAATTTTCTTAAAGAGTAAAGATTTTCCTACTCTTGATATCACTGAACGCATCTATTGTTTCTTTATAACTATTATCTTTTATACACCACAAAATTGTAGCCTATCGTTATGTTAAGAAATGATGATGATGTATTTATATATTATACAACATTTAAATGATAATTTATTTATACATTACTCAGGCACTTTATATTGTCAGATTCAGCTTTCTCTTTTCTCTACAGAAATACAAAGCTTATTTTAATGAAGAATTTAATTTTTTTTTTCTTAATTGTTTCTTAAAAGTGTATACTGGTTTATCACTGCAAATAGTTTTAAGATATATTTTTTCATTTGTTTTGTATACAGAAAATACCTTATATTTTCTTTACATTTTTTCTTTCTTTCTATTGTTTTTATTTAGGCCAGATGTAATCTTTTAATTTTGTTCTATTTTGTTATTCTCAAGGGAGTTTGTCCCAGAATTAAGTTATTTTCTATTATTGAAAAAAAAATTAAGTGACAAGAAAAATGGGACAAACATAAGTGGCTGCAAAACTAACAATATTATGGAATAGAACCCAGTCTCTACTTCTCAACATGGCCTGGTTCCAAACAAGAAACGGTTAATTATAATAAAAGTTAATTATAATAATGAAGTAAGAAGTAAAATTGATTAGAGTACAGATAAAGGAAACTGCCAATCATACAGCGGCTAGGCATAAGATTATATTGATCACCCTGCAAATAAATTCGGAATGTAGCCGAGTACATCTGAAAGTAGCTTTTCATGAAAAGCACACCTCACATACCTAAACTTTGATTGTTTTACTTGAAGTTCCACGTGTCATCGAGCATTCTCTAAACCAATAAAAGCCTCTAAGATATCTATATCCCACTTTGATCTTCCAACTTTATCTATGTCGTTCATTAGGCCTGGAATGTGGATTGACTTTTATAAAATTGTACAATTCATCAATATTTCTGAGTCTCTTATGTCTGTTGTAATGGGTCTAACGAACTTTGCTCTCGAACTAAGTTGAACAACAAGTACAAGAGTCCATCCCCTTCTCTCAGATCCCTAGTGGTCCTGAATACTTCTGACCTTGTTGTTGAAGGTTCCTTGGAACCAAAACCTCTGGGGAAATTTAATAAATCAGAAAAATCAATTCTCTGGGGACATTCATTTCTTCTATATCTTTATAACAGTTTTCTCAATATAATATTTTCATACACTAC